AAACTGATTGGCCCATTAGCTCAGGCTTCTTACTAACGCTTATAACTTTTATAAGTCCATTATTCTTATCTGTGTTAGCCATGTGGCTCGGTACCTTATTAGGCGGGGAAGTCACATCTTGCTTCTTCTGTGGCTGGGCCAGGACTTTGGAAAGGACTTCCTTCTTCCCAGAATTCTCCTGTTCTCATTGATCTGCCTCTGCTTCCTGTCTGGTTGTCCTACCTATACTTCCTGCCTGGCTACAGACCAATCAGCGTTTATTTAAAATATAATTGACAGAATACAGACCACTGTCCCACAACGGTAGTCTAAGTTGGGTTTTTGGTTAAGACAAAGTATTCTTTGCTTTTTCGACTATAGAAAGCACATACTATTTTATTTGCCTGGGATACTTGTTGGGTGTCTGTCTAGAGACTGATGTGAAAGTCATATTTGGTGTGTTCCTAAATGGGCTGACTCTGGATGTTTGCTTCTAGGTTGCCGTTTTTGAAAACTTCATTGGATCACTGAATGACCAGGGTTACCTCTTAAAAAAAGGCCCAAAGATTTACCAACTTCAAACTATGTGACAAACTTACCAAGTCAGAGCCACCTGTGGTTTATTATAGCTCAAAATCATCTTAATTACATAAACTGAAAATAAAAGGTCTGAAAAATGACACATAACTCATAATGAAAAAATGTTATTGTCAGCTGAGAAGTGGTGAGATTGTATATTAGTAATCCATAATTTATCCAGAAGGCTAAAAGTAAAATGTTTGTATTATTTTATCTAAATAACATGAACATTATTTATACTTTTTCTTGTCATATTTTTATTAGTGTTTTATAGTCTTATATATCAAGTGTCTCTCAGGCATCCAGGTAATATATAAACAAATGAGTATGTATTTTGGTGAAACTTTATTTATATTAAACTTTGAATTTCATAAAATGTTTACGTGAAAAAAACTCTTCATTTGTTTCTAACCCTTGTGGTCTGACTTGGTTTTTCATTTGGAAATAGTAGAAATCTTTTGACTTAAGCAGAAGTCCTTTCTAGAAAATTGTTTACAAAATTGTATGAAGACTGATAAAAGAAATGTAAAACTAGCTTGCTGTCATGGTGTCTCAAGCACGCCCACCTTCGTGCCTCACAGATGCCATTCCTACAGCAGGAAATGAGCATCTTCATCCGGCCTCTTTCTGTTGCGAGTTCAGAAGAAAAAGCACAACAAGAAACATTGGTTTGAAAAGCTGGACTAACTGGGGAGTTTTCTGATGTCTGCTTCAAGGAGGCAGAGCCCATAAAGTCAAAATTGACAATAGATTGTGAGAAGCTTCAAGTGAAACTGGACCTCTAGCCAAGACACCTTCGTATCTGTAACCATCAAACACTTCCACATATAAGCACTCAGGCATTGTGAGCCACTGGCTGGAAATATACTAAACTTCCAGGAAACCGGATGAATGAAAAATTGAAGAAACAAAATGAAGGAGGATTTTTCTGTCCTGCTAGCTAGTTCCTAAATAAATGACAAGGAGACTTCTTATTAATGATGAAAGCTCAGCTGATAGCTTAGTCTTGTTTCTAACTAGCTCTTATAACTTAACCTATTTCTATTCATTTACTTCCTGCCTTGTGGCTTTATTAACTCATCTCTGTAGTACCCATCCTGCTTGTTCTGCATCTCCTTGAGACTCTGCCTTCTTCTCAGCATTCTCTCTACCCTGAAAATCCTGCCTAGCTATTGGCTGTTCAACTTTTTATTAAACCAGTCTCAGTTACATATCTTCACACAGTGTAAAGGAATAGTTCACATTTCACACTTTGTGTCTAAAAAGGAAAGGTTTTAACGCTAACATAATAAAACTATAAACAATAAGTATCAGGTAAGAATTACATTTACAATGTCCAGTCCATTTGTGTTTGGCATATTTGGAGAAAATACTCCATTATTAATTCTATCTTGAAAGTCCAAAGCTCTGTATCTAATTTCTCTTTTATCATAACTAAGTAAAACTATAACTACCTAGTCTTGAACTCCATCAAAGACCTTAGACGTAATGTTACATGAGTAAACAGGAACTGTAGAGTAAACAACTTCTAAAAGTATAGAAACGTCAGGAACAGTTGACTGCCTGAACAGTCACCCAAGGACCCTCTGCAATGCTAGGGCATCCATCTTCAGCCTACAGAGCTAGAATATCTGTGAAGGAGGAGTTTTGAAGGACTATCCTACCGTGTCTTGGCAGGTGCTTTCCTTTGTGTCCAATTTGACAGTATACGGTCAGCAACTGAGGCAAGGGCAGTTTCTTGCCCAAATGGTTAGCTTTTACCACAAAGAAAGCAAAGTTCATTTGGAGATTTTTTGCCCATCTTTTTCTTTTCTCTTTCTTCTTTCTTTCTTTCTTTCTTTCTTTCTTTCTTTCTTTCTTTCTTTCTTT